CTGGAGAATCTAAGCTTCTAGACATCACTCATTTGGGGAAGTAGAATGTGCCCTCCTCCTAGAGTGGTTCTGGGACGTCAGCACGCCCTTGATGAAAACCCACTTTCCCAGCACAGACCGAATTAGAGCCTTGGAGGGTAAGCCTGGGGGATGGGAGGCATCAAATTTGGAAGCAGGTGGTCGATCTTAACAGTGTGTGGTCCTAGCTTGCTCTTCTGTGGGCGGTGAAAGGAAAAGTCTCCTTTGAGTGGAATCCTCTGTTTTTCCTGCTGAAAAAAATGATTCTTCCTAAGTGGGGCATGGTGTGTCTGCATCGTGTGAGAGCCTCATCTCGGTCCCTCCAGGGTCTGTGTGATTTCAGTGCTAGGCTAATCCTGCCAACCCGATTAGCAGGTGCTGGACATTCGGGTGCTAGTTCTTGATGACCAGCCTCCATGCAAAGGGTTAAGTGTGTTAGCATGAAAGAGTTCTCTGGGCCTTTCTGCACGAGCAGTGGCTGTGGCCCCATCCCCAGGGCTGCCCTTTGAAATGCTGCCTGGAAGGATAGGCATTCTATCTTCCACCCTTTGGCCAGAGATGAAGGAAGGCTTTTCCAGAACTGCAAAAGACAGGCAACAAGGGATCCTGGAGAGGAAAACGCCAGGGGGAGGCAGGAGATGACCGCGGTCCCAGGAGGCTTTGCCTGCCCCGTCCTGGTTCGGGTGGGGTCCAGAGGTCACATGAAGCTGCTTGCCCCCGCGCAGAGCGCTGCCCACGAGAGCGAACAAGCTTCTTCACATCTGCACGTCACCCTTCCAGCTGGGATTGTTAGAGAAGACTCGTAGGCGGGAGAGGCAGAAAGGAAAAATTTCTTTCTGGAAGCTTCCAGGGTGGAATGAAGCTATTTCAAACAGGAATGAGTGCAGATACTTTCTGGTTCCATTCTCATTTGGTATCAGCAGATTCCCCAGCTGGGGGCCTCCCAAGCATCAGTCTGACCTGTCACAGCTGTCACAAGCCTCCCGTGGCCCCCCAGTGCCTGCAGAATCAAATACAGACTCTTTGCCCCGGTTGCCGGGGGCCCTGCCCATGCTCTCCTCCCTTTCCTCTTGTCTTTATGGCTTTGCTGCTCTCTGTACTTCAGCTTGATCAGCCTTTAACCTCTGATCCCTGAACCCGCCAAGCTTGTTCCTGCCCCCACACTTTAGCTCTGGCTGGAGCTGTTCCCCTCCCACTCCCATACTCTCCATCCTGTTTCCCTGTATGATTTTTTCCTCCGCCTTATCACACCTGCGATGATCTGATCTTTGTTTACGTGTGGTTAGTCCCTCCCCATAAACATAGTGGCTTCTCCTGTCCTGTCCCAGACCCCAGTTAAGTGTTTGGCAGAATGATGGGAGGCTAGTTATACATCCAGCAGAGCTTCCCACTGGGGTGTGGATGCGATACCCATACCCTCCCTGGAGGCTGGGACCTTCCTGTAGGTCAGACAGTCTGGGGGCCTTAGAAAAGAAAGACGGGGGCGCCTGGGGGACTCATTCAGTTGAGCATCTGCCTTTAGCTCAGATCATGATCCCAGGGTCCTGGGATTCAGCCCCTGCACTGGGTTCCCTGCTCAGGGCAGTCTGCACCTCCCTCTCCCCTCCCCCTGTTCATGCTCTCCTCTCTCTCTCAAATAAATAAATAAAATTTTTTCTTTTAATTTATTTATTTGACAGACAGAGATCATAAGTAGGCAGAGGGGCAGGTGAGGGGGCGGGGAAGCAGGCTCCCTGCTGAGCAGAGAGCCCGATGTGGGGCTTGATCCCAGGATGCTGGGATCACAACTTGAGCCGAAGACAGAGGTTTTAACCCACTGAACCACCCAGGCACCCCAAAATAAATAAAATCTTGAAAAAAAAAAACAGAAAAAGAAATTTGCTGTGAGGTGGGATTTTTATTATCCTTCTGAAGTCAGGTAACTGTAGGGGGAAGAACAAGGTGACATCTTTGGCTTATCTCAAAGGAGGACCTTTTGATTTTGCTGGTTACCCAAAGCTTCCTCTTCATTCACTGCCACCCCCAAGATGTAAACGAAGGAGAGTGGGGGTTTGGGAGGCATCTGCATCTGCTGGTTAGACCTGGGCTTGGCTATTTGACTTTTGGCAAGTTATCCAAATTTGCCGAGCCTCGGTTTTTCACTCCGTAAAATGGGGATGACAATAGTTGCTACTATTTAGGATTGTTACAAGGATTATATAATGCCGGGGGGCATTGCTGGTACTTCATAAGCACCATGTAAGTGGAAGTTCTTGTTCTTCTCTAAGTCACAGCGTCTTTGTGACATCCGTGACCGAGAGGACCTCTTAATGTTTTTCAACCAGTAAAACTTAGACTGTCAGATGCCAAGAGCTGTCCCCTTTTCTGACAATTCCAAGTTATGTAAGCCAGCTTGTCCCAATCCAATTCAGTCATTCGCTCACCTCCCTGTCACGATTTTGTCATATATGCGTAGCAGCCTTACTTTTATTTATTTACACCTTACCGCCTTTTTAACTCAGATAAATGTATTAAGGGGCGCCTGGGTGGCTCAGTGGGTTAAAGCCTCTACCTTCAGTTCAGGTCATGATCTCAGGCCTGGGATCAAGCCCCGTGTCGGGCTCCCTGCTCAGCAGGAGTCTGCTTCCTTCTCTCTCTGTGCCTGTCTCTCTGCCTACTTGTGATCTCTGTCAAATAAATAAATAAAATCTTTAAAAAATGTATTTAAAGATGAAAGTGTATCCTGTCACCATGAGTGGAAAATCAGCATCACTTCCATGAATACGCGGCAACCAGGAAAAAAAAAGATGTTCAGATGGAAAAATTAATTTATTAATTTTCCTGTCGATAGTGTCGCCTTTCCAAATCTGGGACTGTGGTAGCATGTGGTAGAGAAATGTAAAGATGTGTTAGCACCAGAAACCTTCTCCCAGATGCAGTCAAAGTGAAGGTGACTTGGAGATAGACTAATAATGTACTTTCTGCCCACATATCTCCTTGCTTCCCCTCTGCACTCCCAGGGGCCCCAGGTCTAACTTTTCCATCTCAGAGTGGAATCCGGAGCCCTACCGGGTCCACCACAGACTGAAGACAGGAGGAATCGGGAAACGTGCATCGGCATTCCCAAACGATCAGCGAGACCAGTGGTTCTCACGCCTGAGCACGTAGCAGACTCAGGGAGAGGCCTTGTTGAAACAGGGGACTGCATTTCAGCTCTGAGTCTCGGCTTCTATCAGATCTGGGGTCCCTACCCCAGAAGCTGCGCTCCTGAAAAGTTCGGAGACCACCGGTGCTCATGCTGCTGGTCTTGGGACTCTGCTTGGAAAACCACTGAGCATGGGGGGAGTCCAAGTGGAGTCTGTGGCTGAACATTCAGATCATTCTGTCAGAGAGAACTATGAGGTCCCCGGAGGGCAAGAAGGTTGAGCTTCTAAAATTTCCACCTCTGCATGGAGTTTGTTACTGGGAAACCTTTAAGCAGGCGGCAGGGTCCTTCTGGCAAGAAGGTCCGCTGTTGGCAGTCAGGCTGGCGTGCACAAAAATGGTAAGGGGACCCAAAGGGGTGCAGACAGGACACCCATAGCGTCTGCCACGGTGTGTATTGGTATGGAAATTCGGAAGAATTTCCTACTGACATATATACTCTAAAAGGAAAAGACAAGGCAGATCACAGTTAGTTGGTTTTGGTTTTTGGTTTGGGGTTTTTTGGTTTGTTTTTTTTTTTTGTCTTGTTTTGTTTTTTGTTTTTTGTTTTGTTTTATCCTTTGGAAGCCTGGCAACGCTTTAGGAAAGAATGAGATGACATTCTTTCAAAAGAGGACATTTTGGCTCTAAACTCTTCTTACCTCTGAAACTGAATACCTCTCATGAATCTTATCTTAAACGGAAGCCTTGGTTAGCTGTCACCTGTTGCTTGCGGCTTGAAGGAAAATGAGAGGCCGCCTCTGGCACCACCGACCCAAGTTTTCTGCCAGGAAAGCTCAGTTAATCTGTTTTTCCATCTGTAAAATGGGAATGATAATAATATCCGTTGTGTAAAGTGTTTATAAAGATCCAATGACATAGCATTTGTATCATGCTTAGTACAATGGCTGGCAGACGAGTCTGCAAGTAATAGGGGATGGTTATTAGGATTGGGTGATGATGATGATGATAAGGATAAAAAATGCAGACTGTGGATCGCCCGGATGGCTCAGTTGGTTAAGTGTCCAACTCTTGATTTTGGCTCAGGTATGATCTCAGGGTCGTGAGTTCAAGCCCTGTGTTGGCCCCGGAGCTGGGCTTGGAGTCTGCTTAAGATTCTCTCTCTCTCTCTCTCTCTCTCTCTCTCTCCTCCTCTGCCCCTCCCTCCATCCCCTTACTCTCGTGTACTCTCACTCTCCCTAAAATAAAAAAGAAAAAAGTACAGACTGAAAGGTGAAAATATCTTTCAAAGCATAACGTCTAAGTGGACACTGTTGGTGGAGTTGCTGCTCAACCTGGACCACCCGAGTCTGACCTGGGAGAATGGAATGACAATAGCCTTTATCTAGAGTTAATTTCCTAGGTGCCAAGGAGATACTTTAGCTGCCCTATCTCATCTCATATTTTGGTATTCACAGCTTCCAGAGCTTCCTGAACCACCAGGGCATCCTGTTCATCTATCCATCCCTCCTCCCACCCAGCCTTCCACCCACCCATCTCTCCATCCATCTATGCATCCATCCATCCACCTACCCACCCACCTGTCTGCCCATCATCCATCCACCCAACCATCCATCCATCCATCCATCCATCCACCCATCCATCCATCCACCCATCCATCCACCCATCCATCCATCCAGCCATCCACCCACCCAACCATCCATCCATCCATCCATCCATCCATCCATCCAACCAACCATCCATCCATCTACCCATCCACCCATCCACCCATCCATCTATCCAACCATCCATCCATCCATCTGTCCACCCATCCATCCAACCACTACCCATCTCTCCATCCTTGTCTCTTTCTCTCTCAGGTTAAAGTGCCACAACAAATGCACCAAAGAAGCCCCTCCCTGTCATCTCCTGATCATCCACCGAGGAGGTAAGTATTTAACACTTCCTATCCTAGGGGTAGGCTGGGGTGGGGGCTCTTGCAGACCCTCGGAGATAGCTGTCCCATCCAGACCATTTCTGGGTACCTCTTAATCCCCGATACTTACCTAATTTTTTGCCCTCTGACACTCTTCTTCCTGACATCTATCTCCTTCATCCATCTCTGGTGCCTGTTCTCCGTCTTCCTTGCCCCTCTAATGGTCTCTCTGTTACTTTAGCCCTCAGATTCATCTCCCCCTTCCTAAGTCTTTTTCTCTCATTCCTGTCTGCTCTCCTAATTTCCACTCTCCTCTCGTTCCCCCAATCTCATTGCTTTTCCTTCACATGTAGAAAAAGAGTGCTGGCTGAGTGTTCCTCAATCACTTGGCCCTGCAGAGGTGGCCATGGGGAGAGGTCGGGCTTGGGTCTCTGGATTTGGGCCATCTGTGTTCTGTCCCCTGGGGCCCTGGGAGTGTCTGGGCCAAACTGTCCACAGAGGGAGGTAACAGCTCTCTCTTAGGAGAGCCACTGCCAGCCTTTACCCTGGGGTGGGGGGGAGCAAGACCAATTGAGTGCAAAGGAAAGACTGGATAGAAAGGCTTTGCCCTGCCTCCCAAGGACTCAGTGGGAAGCATCTCCTCGGGAAACCTGGCAGTCCAACCTTGACAATAGTTCCCCTGACTCTTGTCTCATGGGGTAGTTATCTCTCACTGTCATTATCTACATTGCAATTCATTCACTGGGGGACCCTCTAGGCCTGTGCTCTTCAATACAGCAGCTGCTAGCCACATCTGACTGTTTAAATTTAGATTAAATGAAATAAAAGTAAAAATTCAATGATTCTGCCACACCAGCCACATTTCAAGGTCTCAGTGGCCACCGGTGGCTACCATACTGGCCAGTGCAGATAACCAACGCTCTCCTCATGGCCGAGAGTTCCCTTGGGTATCACTGATCCCAACCTTTGCTATTCAAAGTGCAGTCTGTGGATTGATAACCTGGAAATCCCTGGGGAGCGGTGTGGTTCCACACGCATGGTTTCTGGCCCCACCGGAGACCTACTCTAGAGGAACCTGCCTCTTTCACCACATCTTCAGGCAGCTCTCTGCCGCCTTAAAGTTAAGAAGCAAGGCCCTAGAATAGACGTCGCCAACACAGGGGCCAGCAGGGCCAAGCAAGGATCAGAAAAGAGAGAAGGTGGCCATGTGAAGTCATGCAGAGTGGAGAGGACACCCAGGGGCCGTCTAGAGAGGACAACCGCTCCAGCAGCGATGGAGGCAACGTGGACCTGTTCTGCATTTTTTCGCAGTTCCACAAAAAACCCAAATAGTTGTATGAAGACGCTCACAACTTATTAACCATTTAAAAATTCTCACTGGCCAGTTCCCCGTCACCCTCCTTCTAATAGGCTGGATGGAGCCATGGAGCCAACATTGCCTATACCACCTGCTGATCTGGGACAGAGTCCCTTCTGGTCCCCACTGTGTCCCTTGTGGCTCCCCTGGCCTTAGTCAGTGTAGGCTCTGGGGAATCCACGCCATTCCAGAGCGAACCCAAGGGAAAGGTAAAGATGGAAGCAGAGTGCCGCCCAAAGTCCTGGGATGTGTTCCGAAGCCCACGGGCTGTTGGTTGTCCGTGATCTTTGCGTTGCTTACCTCCACGAGGAGGGGAATTGTGAGTAAAGGAAAAATCTTCAGCCCTTTGCCCCTTCCCACCCACACCCTAATCAAGAACCATCTGTTCCTTGCACAACTGCATACACTCAACAAGGCTATTTTTAAACGTGAATGCTCAACAGCTCTCGAGCCCTAGTCTTGGGTCAGCGTCACTGGAGAAATTCCTCTTCGTCGTGGACTCTGCTGGAGCCCAGCTCCCATGTGCAGATCAGAACCAGCCTGCTGCATGGCGACTGGCTTTCAGAGGCTGACATCTGAGGAAGGGCTCCCTCCCCCACCCGCCTTCATGGCCGTGCCCCCTTCACTCCAAGGCAGCAGGTGCCTGTACATGCGAGAGCCATGGATCTTTCCAGAAGTTCCCCAGGTTCTTGCTTCCTCCTCGCCACACCACCCCCTCCCCTCTTGATAGGAAGTTTAAAATATAGTTGGTTTCTATGGTGATGGCAGCTCAGGCTAAGCAGAGAAATTAAATCCCCAGGTCAGTGCAAAGCTTTAACTTTTCCACCAATGCCCCACACCCCGTGCAATAAAAACAGCGAACAAGTAACACTGCCAGACATCAAATTTGAATTTGAGCTGCTCAATCAGCCCCTCCCCGAGGCCCCATAAGAAGTCATAATAACAGGTAACTCGAGGAGGAGCTTGGATAGTGTGGTTTGGATCAGGAAGCATTTATTGAGCACCAGCTGTGAGCCCAGCTTCTTGTGTGGCTAGGAGGTCCTAACATACTAAGCCTTCCTTTCCGGGATCCTGGTGGCCTGGTTTACGACAAGTGTGTTACGACAAATGTGTTACGACAAATGTGTTTACGACAGAAGTGTTTTGACATGCACCTGACTGCTCAGGCCTGAGGAAACCCACAAGTAGCAAAGGATGATTCCAACACAAAAGTTAGATGGGGACAGGGACAGGTGACCATTCTGAGCTTGTCTGTTGATTGCAGACCCTAAGGAATCAGGAACCGCTTGTATTTCAAAGGAGGGTCAAGTCTGAAATGAACCCCAGTGTGAGACCATTACAGTGTTGAAAACAACCTGATAGCTTCAGTTTTATTATTAAAATTTCTAATGGACAAGTAATTTATCGACAATACAAAGATTTTAGAAACCGGAGAACACCTGATCTTACCACCATGACAGGATAATTACCATTTTTGGAGAATTCCCTCATGTTCCTGGGGGTCGGGGGAGTGGGGGCGGGCCTTTGGGGTGGGGTCCGAGCTATGCTCTCCTGGCCAAACCTTTTAAAACCAAAGTGGTACTTAAACTCCCAACTTGCTGTTTTTACCCCTACGGATCCAGCAAGGTTAGTCCGAACAGAGTCCGTCCCGTGTGACATCAACAACCCTCTACGAAAGCCACCCCGGTATTCGGACCTGCACATCAGCCAGACGCTCCCCAAAACCAACAAAATCAGCAAGGTGAGGCTGGGGTCCTGCCCTGCGGGGACATGCTGGGGCCGGCAGCTGCCAGGAGGGGCGGGGGGGGGGCAGGGCGGGGGCAGGGCTTACGCAGATGGCTCTGGGAACCCGCACCTCCCAGCCCACCTGGGTTCTCCTCCTTTGCTGTTTGTGCAAGTAAAGTTTGGGGGCCATCCAGCCATCAGTGGAGATTCAGCGTGCCGGAAATCTGTCTGGTTTTGAAAGAGGGCACACCGAAGTGAGAATGAATGAGTCTGTCGAGGAGGGGGCAGTAGGGAGAGCGGGAGAGCCTGAGCAGGTCCCTGAGTGGTCCAGACCTGCCCTCTTCGCTCTATGAGATGTTCAGCCATCTGCCAGGATTAACTTCGCAGATGGTTCTGGGCTGACACAGCTGTTGAATCAGACCACCAAGAGATTGGGGGTAGGGGGTCTATTTCTGAGCTCCTGTTGGAGACTCGGTGGATGGATAAGTGGGGGGCCCAAAGCTCTGAGCCTTGGCCAGTTTGGTTGGCTTCCGGCTGCTCCTCACAGGGTGGTCAGCAATGAGCCTCTCTGTGCATCTTTCTCTCCACCGTGGCATGGAAATTTCCGGTGTGATTTCCACATCCTGTTTGGTCTGTTGGTCGGACTGCATCAGAACTGTCCCAGGGAGACCTGCAGCCTTACGGTAGGAAGCAAAGGCTGCACATGCCAACAGGTGAGTTTTCAAGCTCCCCAATGCTTTTGTGCATTGTGTGGGAGGTGCATAAACTATAAATCAACCCAAGCATGTGGGAAGTCACCACCTGTGTTCAGAACCCAGAGGAACATCGGGATGGCTGAGTGATCTCTCCCTGGCAAGGCTCAGCCTGGCTTCCCTGCCTCCGCTGGAGAAAGTGTCTGCCCCTCCCCCTCCCACCCTCCACGCTGCAGCCAGAGTAATTCCTAATGAATGTAATTTGAATCCTGTCCTCCTCTGCTTAAAAACCATACAGTGGCTTTCTACTGTATATAGAAGACAAATCAAGCTCCTTACGGCAGCCTGCAAGGCCATGAGTAATTTGGCCCCTTGCTCTATCTCTGACCTCCCTTTGCATGCCTCCCCACCAGAGCCCATATGTTCTCTCTCGAGCGCGCTATCACCCACCGTTTCTACTACTAGCTCTCAGTCATTCACCATCTGGTTCCTTGTGACATCATCTGAATGGTTGAGAGCTTAGCCTCTGAAGTCAGGCAAACCTTGCAGTCAACCTTGGCTTCTCCCCACGTACTAGCTGATAGACTCTGGGCAAACCATTCATTTTTCTCGGCCTCAGTTTTCCCATATGTGAAATGGGTGTATTCCGGTTATCTACTGCTATACAACAAAGCTCCTCAAACTTACTGGTGTACCAAAGCCTTTTAATGATGCTTGTGGAGTCTGAGGGCCAGGAATTAGGACAGGGTACAGTGGGGATGGCTGGGCTCTGCTTCATGATGTTCAAGGATTCACCTGGGAAAACCCAGACAGCTGGGGGCTGGAATCTTCTAGACCAGAGATTGGCAAACTATGGCTTACAGGCCAAACCAGCCCAGCACCTGCACCCGTTTTTGTGACTAGAGTTATCTTGGAATGAGCCATGCCCATATTGTCTATGGCCGCTTTCACGCTACAAGCTGGAATTGAGTGGGTCCAGCAGAGACCACGTGACTTACAAAGCCTAAAATATTTACCATTCGGCCATTTCAGGGAAAAGTTTGCCAACCCCAGGTCTAGAGCCTGCTTCGGGAGTTTGGAATGGGATGCATCAGAGGCAGGGTTCAGCGGAGACTCAGTGGGAGCATCTATATGGGGACTTGCCTTATGGTTTGAACTTCCTCACAGTTTATCGGCTGCAGGGTAGTGGGTCTCCTCCATGGCAGGTGAGGGCCCAAAGAACAAGTGTTTTAGCCAACTGGGGCTTTTATGACCTAGCATTATAACAGCCAGCACACTGTCTTGATTTGTCCTTAGCCAAGGGTTGGTATATACATGTATACACCATACTGATGGGGGCTGTCACGCTCCCACTCAGATTCAAGGGGAAGAGGCATAAATCCCACCTGTCGATGGGAGGAGTCCAAGGAATTTGAGGCCATGTGTTGAAGTGTCCATGATGGGGTGCCTGGGTGGCTCCGTCGTTTAAGCATCTGCCTTCAGCTCAGGTCATGATCTCAGGGTCCTGGGTTGGAGCCCCTCGTCGGGCTTCCTGCTCAGGGGGGAGCGTGCTTCTCTCTCTCTCTCCCTCTGCCCTTCCCCCTGCTCATACTCACTCACTCTCTCTCAAATAAATAAATAAAATCTTTAAAAAATAAAAAATAAAGTGTCCATGGTGGCTAGGAGGAGCCCTGACCTCAGAGAGTTGTTTTGGGATGAAACGAGAAATCAACATAAAGACATTTAGTAAGGGTCCAGGCACATGGTAAGTGCCCAGGAAATTCTAGATAACATTATCAGATTCAGGCTTGGGCTTCCAATCCAAATGTCAGGTGGGGTCTGCTTCTTCTTTGTTATTTGCAAAGGATACATAGAGGTCTCTAGAAGGGATCCCCACTCCAGGGTTGCTCTGGGGACTCGCATTGCTCAGCTCCTGAGAAGTGACTGTGCGTGTCTGTAACCTGTCCTTTTCTTTGTCACATATTAGGGGGCAGGCTGCTCAGAGCCATCTCGAGACCTTCCCCTCTGGCTTTGCAGGCACCATGAGCCTCTCGATCAGATGGGACAGAAACGCAGGTCAGATAGATCAGTGACTACGACATCGTTCTGCTTGTCTGCCAGCAGGAGAATTTGATAAGAGAAATAAATTAACCTCTATTTAGAAAGCAGCTTCAACTTGAAGGTGGGCAGGATCTATCGCAGAGCTGGGTTATTTTTTCCTCTCTTTCTCTTCTCACTGGCTTCACACAGATTCTTTTTGTCAGGCAATGATGTGGTTAGTGCAACAGATATCTGAGCCAATTTGGTCTGAAGACTTCCTTTTCATTGCTCTGTCTCCTCTCCTGTTTGGCTCAGTCAATCCAGGTTCACAAAAAACCTAGCTTTTTCTTCCAGCAGAATACTTAAGAGTGTGCATTTTGGAGTCAGAAGGGCTGGGCTTGGAACTTTGTTTCTTCATTGACTAAGTGGTCATAGCAAGCTCTCTCTGCCTTGGTTCCCACCTCCAATCCCCAATCCCTATAAAAGAGGCAGGATGGGGGCTCCTGGGTGGCTCATTGGGTTAAAGCCTCTGCCTTCGGCTCAGGTCATGATCTCAGGGTCCTGGAATTGAGCCCCGCATCAGGCTCTCTGCTCAGCGGTGAGCCTGCTTCCCCCTCCCTCTCTCTGTCTGCCTCTCTGTCTACTTGTAATCTCTGTCTGTCAAATAAATAAAATCTTTTTTTCTAAAAAAAAGAGGCAGGATGATAGCAGGTGTGATTGGGATTGTGGAAATGATTAGATGCAATGTTATGCGTAAATTACTTAGTCCAACACTGGCTACTCAGGGCCTGGAATGGCTTGATGATGAAGAGGAGAGGGGCAGAAGGAGGAGGAAGAAGAAGAAGGGAAGAGGGAGGAAGAGAGGAAGAGGAGCAGGAGATGGCAGAGGAGCCAGAAGAGGAGGGGGAGAAACAGCAGCCTCTGCCAGCTCCTTGGGGAAGCAGTCTACAGCACTCACGCTTCCACATCAAGGCATCCAAACCCCATCTGCAGTGGTGTCCAAGGCTGCAGGTCTGCCTGCTGCCATGATGCTATTTGGAGCAGCTGCATGCCGGCTTGCCCTTTTCAGCTGGTCTTATGCTCAGGCCAGCTCCTTGGACCTACAGCAAGACCATGAATCATTGTTCTGTTCTCCCATCACGACCTTGACTCAGTTACTCTTTGTGATCTGCTCCAGTCTGTTACTGTTGACTGGTTTCCTCATCCTCTGCCTTCCTCTCTCTGTGTCTTTGCTTCAGCTGCCATATAGTTCCTACTTCTCATAACCTTGGCTAATTTGTTTTCTGGCCTGTTGTGGCTCTTCTATTGTCTTTGAAACTCATCTCCTCTCTGCCTGTTCTCCTAATGCTGTTTGCCATTCTTCCTGTCGGCCAGCTCATCTTTTCATTCCATATTATAGTCATGGGCCGGCTGCCATCTTGTTCTGACCTGTGGTCCTGCACTGGCGGTGGGCTCTGAAGGTCACAAGACAAGTATGGCTGTTTAGGACTGTCTATTTGGCACCATCTATTGGGTTGGAGGGTAGGGACAGTTTTCTTAGGAAAAGTCCATGAGAGAGGCAGTTACTATCACCACCATGTCCAGACCAGTGCACATCTGGGTGAAATGGGAACCTGGGAGATGAGCATGCTTCGGTTTGATTCCTGAGTCAACTGTGAATTTCTTGTGACTTGGCACGATATTGTGTTTCTGCTGCTGGGGTGGACGTTAGGACCTAGGCCACCAACTCTCTGTATGACTCCAGCAAGTCACTCCTGCTCTCCGAGTCTTAGTGTCCCCATTTACAGAATAAGGGGTTGGACTGGGAGGTCTCTGAAGGATGTTTCTGCATCTTAACTGTGCTCAGAAAGAGGAATTATGCCACTAGCCCTTCCCAAAATGATCTGGTAGAGTTTGGAATGCAACCTCTAATTGCTGGTCCCATCGGGCCATAGATCTGGGTCTGACCAGAAGAAGGAATTGCCCCTCCTATTGTAGCAATTTGGCCAAAGAATGTGGGCACTATATGCAGTGCTCTCTTGGGATGATTTTCTGTATTCACAACAGTCCTGAGCTACAAAGATGAGGAAGACCTAATTCTACCCTCAAGGAGGTAGAGATAATTCCTTTCTCTATGAACACAGTTCCTTCTCCCCTCCCTCCCTTTATCTCACCTTCCAGTTGTTCTTCTTTCCCATTAACTCACTCATTCATATAACACTTATTGCTATCTCTTACGTTTTTATTCCTGTGCTAAGTTCTGCAGATTCAAAGATGGATAAGACACAGTCTAGTAAAATGAGATAGATCTTTTTCCTCCATCCCTCTCTCCTTCTCTTCATCCCTCCAACCCTCCTCTTTTCATTTGTTTCTTGTTTTCCTTCATTTTGGCTTCATCATTTCCTTCATTGTTGGTCCTTCCATCCAGTGGAAGGACCACAGTGTGCCTGGTGTGTTTCTAAGTGCTGAGAATAGGGAGCTCCTAGCCTAGAGGATGAGACAAACAAGTAGGCTGAGAAGTGACTGGGTAGAAGCAAGAGCTGAAGCCGAGGGAGTAATGCAGAGCTAACACTAGGAGTGAATGATAGGCTTTACCTGGTAGAGCAGGGGTCGGGGGAACTTCTCAGTGGATGGAAGAGGTGAGCTCCGTCTTGTGGGCAGACTAGGGCTAGACAGATATTCCAAGTAGAAATAACAGCATGTCCCAAGCCTTGAAGATGTGAAGTGGCCTGGTTTGTGTTGGAGACTGTGAGCTTCTCACTTAGCAATAATGCAGTACCCCTTCCTGATGAGATAACCTCAGTGGTGGCCTGGTGGAGAGTCAGGACTTCTCCCAGCACCCATCATTAATGAGGGTATTCCCCCTGTCTTTGGTGTCAGTGGATTACATGGGGAGTGGTGATGAGGCACTCCTACTTCTCCCAAAAAGAGTGTATCAGTGGAGGCCTATGAAGAAGCTGGAATTCCCACTCCCATCCAGTAACAGGAGGAACCCTGATGCTCTCAGGTGCCAAGAGAGGCAGAGAGCCTAGGTATCTGCCCTACTCAGCAGTAACAACACAGCACACGCCCTCTTCCCTGCTAGGGCAGTGTCACAGGAAGCCAGCTGAAGCTAAAGGTTTCAGTAAGACCCAGAGTCTCACAATGTAATACCCAGGTGTCCAGGCGTCAATGAAAAATCACTTGTCACACCAAGAGCCAGAAAGATCACAAACTGAATGAAAAAAGACAGTCAAAAGATGAGACAAGTGAGATTTTGGAATTACCTGACAAAGATTGTTAGAGCAATCAAAAATGTTTCAATAAGTGATTATGAACAATCTTGAAACAAATGAAAAAAAATAGGAAATTGCTTCAAAGAAGTAGAAAGTCTCAGCAAATAAGTAGAAGTTATAAAGCAGGACCTATGAAAAATTTAGAACATACAACTAGAAAATTTATTCATTAACATTAAAAACCCAGTGGAGAGACTCGGTGACAGAATGGAAGGGCAGAAGAAAGAATATGTGAGCTTGAAGATAGAGCAGTAGAAATTAGATAGTGGATTAAAAAAAAAAAATGAGTAGAGCCTCAGGGACCCTTTGGACAACAATAAAAGGTATAACATTGGTGTAATCAGAGTCCTGGAAGGAGAGGAGGAAGAGGTCAGGGCTGAAAAGTTCTCCAAGAAATAATGGGCAAAAACTTCTCAAAATGGGCAAAAAACATAAGCCCTTGTTCCTACTTTTCTAATTCAGAAACTAATACACATACTATGTTCATGGATTGGAAGACGCAACATAGTTAAGATATCAGTTCTCCTTAAAATCGATACCCGATTCCTATCAAGATCCAAGCAAGATTTCTTTTAATAGATAAAGACAAGATTATTCTAAAAGTTATATGAAAAAGCAAAGGAACTTGAATAGCTAAAAAACAATTTTGGAAAAGAATGAAATGGGAGGAATCCGTTTGCCTGATTTCAAGGCTCATTATATAGTTAACAATAATCAAGACCAAAGAGGATATACAGATGGCAAGTGAACACATGAAAAGATGTTCAATATCATTAGCCATTAGGAAAATGCAAATTAAAACCACAGTGAAATATCATGACATTCCTATCAGAATGGCTAAAGTAAAACATAGTGAAAACACCAAACACTGGCTGGGAGGCAGAGAAAATCACTCATACATTGTTCATATAAAATGGTGTAGCTGCTCCAAACAACAGTATTTGCATTTTCTTTAAAAATTAAACATGCAATTATCATGCTGTCCAGAAGTTGCACTCCTGGGTATTTATCCCAGAGAAATAAACACGGTTGTGCGTACAAAACCTGTGCACGAATGTTAACAGCAGCTTTATCCACAGTAGCCACGGAGGGGAAACAACGTAGCTGTCCTTCAGTGACTGAACCGTCAAACACGCTGGGATACATCCATGTCATGGAACACTGCTCAGAGATTAAAAGGAACAAACTATCGATACACTCAACAGCTTGGAGAAATCTCCAAAGAATTCTTCTGGGTGGAAAAAAGAAAAAGCCAATCCAGAAAGTTTGCATACTCTATGATTCCACCTATATAGCGTTCCTGAAATGACAAAATAATAGAAATGGGGACCAGATGAGTGGTGTCTTAAGGTTCAAGATGGGAGGGAAAGAGAGGGAGGTGGGAGTAGCCATGAAAGGGCGATGTGAGGGATCCCCATGGTGGTGGAAATGTTCTGTTTCTTGGCTGTATCCATGCAATGTCTGCATTGGGATACTGTGCTGTAATTTTGCAAGACGGAATTATCAAAGAAAACCGGGTAAGGATGCGCGAGGTTTCTGCTGCTTCTTAAAACCGCCTGTGAAATCTACAGTTATCCCAGATAAGAAGTTTCAAGGCAGATTGTGTCACCAACATGATTGCTCCCATTTACTGACAGACAAGGGCCTCGGCCCAATGCCAGGGGCATAGGTGCATGGGTAAGCACATATAAACATAGTAGACCCAGCCGGTGGGGGTTCTTAGCCCATGTAAGGGATGAGGAGAGGCTGGAGCTCACGGAAGTGAGCTTACTTGGAGGCAGCGGGAGTGAGTGTGTTCTGGGAGGGTAACATGCACAGCACAGCCATCCATTGGGCAGCCAGACAGAGTGCCCGCTACCCCTTCCCCCGCCCCATGCTGGTTGGTGTTTATTACACTGACTCTGGAGTTTGGCAGGTAAACATACCCATTGTCAAATAATCGGCTTGCACAAAACTATCCTCAGGCACCGTAGCCCATCGGAGTGATGGACCTCAGTAATGCAGGGACTAGGTGACTGGCGTCCTATGAGGGGACAGGCAGTGTGCCCTGGAGAACACTTAGTTCCTCTGGCTTTGAGAGGCAGGAATCACTTTTACGGGACATTGAGGTTTGCTGGTACTCTTATTTTACAGTGGGCAGAACTGAGGACCAGAGAGGTTAAGCATTTGGTCCCAGATGCAGGGGGGAGGGGTCGCTGTGGGAACTGTGAGTCTGGGTTTGCCTGACTCAGCGGCATCTGCTGGGCTCAATCTCCTGTGGTTGCCATAACAACTGACCACAAACTGGGGAGCTAGAACAACAAATATTTTTTCTCTCCCAGTTCTGGGGACCAGGAGTCTGAAATCAAGTGTTAGTAGGAATGGTTCCTTTTGGAGGCTCTGAGCGAAAATCCATTCCATGCCTCTCTCCTAACCTCTGGTGGCTCTGGCCATCCTAGTCGTGGCTTGGCTTAGAGACGTGGCAGTGTGATCTCTACGTCTGTCTTCATGTGGCCTTTCCCTCTGTGCATGTCTCTCCTTTTCCATTTCTTATAGGGACACTTGACATTGTATTTAGGTCGCACCTTAATCCAGAATGATCTCCTCTTGAGATCTTTAATTACATCCGCAAAGACCTTTTTCCAGAGAAACATTCTGAGTTTCCGAAGGGGCAGGGCTTTTGGGGGACACTGCTCCTGATCGCCACCCACCCTCCCAGCCAGGGACCATTCTGAGGTTGCACACTTCGATTATGTCCTCATGTTCACTTAGAGCCAGCTCGGGCTCCAGGAGAGGCAGTGGCGACTCCAAATGAGATGTGAGTGAAGAAGCTGAAGGCTCGCTCTCGCGCCCTCTCTGGAGCTGTCAGGCTGTTGATTCTTTAATAAACACTCAGGAGGAGAGGTGTTAGGATGGGAAGAGCACTCTGGGCACCTCGGCGTGGGGCTTTCCCAAATCGAAAGGCACAAAGAGCATGGCTGTCACCTACGTGCCTTTCATTACGTGGTAACCTTTCGCTCTGGAGTCCAGGCAGCGGGTGGGAAATTGATGCCAGGAACTGTTCCTTCCACAGCTGGATGCAAACTAGCTGGTGGGTGGGGATGATGAAGCTGGTGGGACGTGGGAAGGGTCTGGTGGCTAAGGGAAGTGGCTAAGGATGCCGGCGTGGGTTCCTTCCTGCTTGCCCACTCTCACTGCGGTGTCTCCGCTTCTCTGCCTCCCCCTGGTCCCTGCCCTGTTTTCTTTCTGCAGGACCACATCCCTGTCCCTTACCAGCCAGACTCCAGCAGCAATCCCTCATCTACAACATCCTCCACGCCTTCCTCGCCAGCACCGCCCCTCCCTCCCAGCGCCACGCCGCCTTCTCCCCTGCACCCTTCCCCACAGTGCACGAGGCAGCAGAAGAACTTCAACCTGCCAGGTACCTCTGCACTTGGGATGCTGTGGTGGGAGGAAGGGTTGGGCTCGAACCAGAGCCGTGTCTGGGTCGGTCCATGCTTAAAGGTAAGGGGTTGAAGGCATGCGGCTGAGTCTTCCCATAGGCAGGGCAATCACCACATTATTACCTTATTTGATCTTTAGGATTGCCATGAAGTAAGCCTTCTTGGCTCCATTTTACAGATGAGGATACTGAGGCTCAGAGAGGTCAAGGACTTTTGGTCAACAGCAACCCAGTGTCTCCAGCTAGGTCAGTCATGGGGCGGGGTGGGAGGGGCTCTAATCAAGCTGGCAGTTGTCTCATGAGCTAAATAGCTTGAAATTGGCATCAGGATCCTGGGCTTGCAGCTGGGCAGGGCTGCATTCAGACAGAGACTTACTCCAGATGTCAGGATAGGGCTCAGAATGAACAGCTGGGGTCCTGGATTCAGTATCCGGTTCTGCCGTGTTCATGCCATATGACCTCTGACTTGAGCTTTCCCACCTTTGAAAGGATACAGATGGATGAGAGGATCTGGAAGTTTCTCCTAGTCCACAAATTCCAAGGCATCTGGCTGGTGACCTGAGACCATGCATGGGGCTATAAGATGCTGGAAAAGCCACTCATGAGATGTTTGGCTTCTTGGCCTCTTTTGTCATTAGACTTAAGGGATCTCTCTCTGCTCAGTTGGGCCAGATCTAAGAGTACACCCCCATCTTCTGAGGTCCAGCCCAGCTCACTACCTTTTCTAGGGCCCTTAGGACTTTCTAACTTGGCCGTATTTGCAGGAAGGAGGCTCGTGGGATGAGGTCTGGCTTGACCAATGGGAACCAGAATTTAGATCTCTGTTGTTCAATATGGTGCCCCGTAGCCACATGTGCCTATTTAAACCAAAATGAATTAAAAGTAAATATAATTGAAGTTTTAATTTTTCAGCCACATTAGCCACATTTTGATTACTCATTAGCCGCTTGGAGCTGGTGGCTGCCATATTGGCCAGTGCAAAATACAGAATATTTTTATCCTCACAGAAAGTTCCACTGGACAGTGCTGATCCAGGGGCTGATTTCCCTTTGAGCCAGCAAGCTTCGTGCAGGGGGAGGAAATCCAGGTTCTCAGCCACGGGTCACACTTCCAAACCCAATAAGCCACGAGTGAATGGTGGGTAGGCAAAAGGGGGCCCACTCCCACACCTAGGCAGCACCCTGATACCACTACTGATTTAAGGATAAGCTGTTGCCTGCCCACACTGTTTTGATCTGGGGCTATGTCCATGGGAATAAGGCACATTTTGAAGTCTTGACAATATGGGGAATTTTTTGTGAAGTTCAAGCCTGAGGCAGTCTTGTATCTGTCTGATGTGAAGGCCACTCAGTTGGTAGCCACCAAGGACCGTAATGTGAGCCAACAGCTGGAATCATCTCGGCGTGTGCTTCCCCGAGCCAATGAGGCCAAAACTGCCCACTATGTCCACAGGCTGGGGCTCCCACTGCCACCTCTGGGGTGGTCCATTTCCACTTCCCTGGAACGGGGTGAGTGGACACTTCATGACCCCCCCCCAAATCTGAGGGGAAGTGGGTGTCTGGGTGCTTTCTTAGAGCTGCTCGACCCCACCCCTGGTCACTGACTTTGGGGTACTGTCCCTGAAACTGTTTGCTGCTTGCTTAATGACCAGGGGCTGAGAAAGGACCTCTTAAGGGAGCAGTGTGTGTCCGAATGCCACAACTCTTTCTGCCCCTCAAAGACTTTTGCTGGCATCTTTAGACAAGACACCTGGCTGACCAGGGGTGATGGCTGTCTCCCTGAGCTGCTTCATTCCTTTGGTTGGGTCCCCCGAGGCAGGGTCCTCACTGATTGTCTACTCGCCTGCCCGTGGATCTGCACATCTTCTGGAGTGTCTCATAACAGTGACGTCTGGGGAGTGGGCTGAGCGGTGCTCTGAGTGAAGGCACTTTAGTTAAGAGTATGAGCTCTGGGCCTGGGCTGCTTGGGGTTCAAATGCCCGCTCTGCTACTTCATACCTGCATCTTGCCGAGTGAATCAGTTACCACTCTGAGCCTCTGTTTCCTCCTCTGTAAAATGGGGATGATAATAGTATCTATTTCACAGAATCACTAAAGGACTAAACCTGTCATTCACATACAGAGCGGAGCAGAGTGCCTAACTCCATGAAGATCTTGACAAATGCTGGGGTGCCTGGGTGGCTCAGTTGGTCAAGCACCTGACTCTTGATTTTGGCTCAGGTTGTGATCTCAGGGTCGTGAGATCAAGCCCCACATCAGGCTTCACGCTGGGCATGGAGCCTGCTTAAGATTCTCCCTCTCCCTCTACCCCTCCTCTGCTCGCTCTCTCTCAATCTCAAAAAAAAAAAAAAAGACAAAAACAAAAAACACCATGGCTACCATTTTTGGCATTTCCCACCATCACTGCTAATTCATACGGCCTTAATCAGAATTCTGGAAATAAATGAAATCCTCATATACCCTGGTGTTAGGAGTAGGAATTGAATTCAACCTTCCAAGAAGGTAATTTTGCATTGTCTGTCAAAGTTTTATATGTACATTCCTCGGACCAGCAATATCACTTCTAAGACTCTATATACAGATTATATTTGCGTAGGGCACAGGGATCAGTGCATAAGGATTTCATTGCGGTAGTGGGAAATCTGGACTCAACCCAAGAGGGGAATCGTTGATTACAATCGAGGGGAAATGGCTGATATGCTGTAATATTCCTGCATAACCAAATATTCAGCTGCCCTTAAAAAGAATGGAGGGGCTCCTTGTAGATATCCTGACATGAAAGATATCCACAATATCATTTTGGTGGGAAAATAAGTGATTCGCAAAGCAGTTGGTGTAATAACATCCTTCGTATTCTAAAATAATTACATACAGGTGTATACATATGTTTATATGTGTGTGTATATATACTTGTGTATTTGTATATGCACCAAAAAAAAGTCTGCAAGAACTTCACGTGGCAGCTGTTTCTAAGAAGAGGAGTTTTATTTTATGCATTGCTACAATGTGTAGATACCAAGGAGCATGCGCCGCTTTTATAACCAGATGGTAATAATAAAATGCAATATGGAAATGGTGAGCAAAATAGGACCTTCCAGATGAGCAGCCGGATCTTCTCCCTTGACTTAGGAGGTTTTAGCAAAATTTCCTCAGGATTGACAAGTGCCTATCCTGTTCATATAAGACCCTAGTCACTGTCACACTCTCAACTGTGAGCCTTTGCTGATGGGAAAGCTGCTTTGACCATGGTTCCCTCCCAGCTGTTGAGTTTTCTAAAGACTGTTCCAGGTAATGCTTGGCATAACCAGTCCCCAGCATTGACTGATCTAGAATGTTCTTTTCTAAAAGGGTCCCATGGGGTTAATAGGCATTTGGCTCACTTGTTAACCTCATGACATTTGAAAGAGTTTTTAGTTGGAAAACTAAGTGCATTAGGCACAGACTTGGTAGAATTTGTGATTGACTTCCTTGTTCTCCTGCCGCTCACTTCCAAATCCTAGGCCATATTTGACCTGGCCAGTGGCTCATGGGTGTTTCCTCCTGTCCAGAACCACCCCCTTCCCCTCACACTGCATTCACCCATCTGTTTCCATGACACATATTTACTGAGCATCTACTATGTACCAGTACTATACAAGGCACTAGGTATGAAGCTGTACACACACCAGCTGTGCCCTTTATGAGTTTCCAGTGGCTGCTGTGATAAATCACCACAAGCTTAGTGGCTTAAAACAGCCGAAACATATTATTTTATAGTGATGGAGGTCACGAGTCTAAAGTTGCTTTCACAGGGCTAAACATCAAGGTGTCCACAGGGCTGGTTTCTCCTGGGGGAACTAGGAGAGAATCCACCTGCTTGCCTTTTCCCAGCCTGGGGGAGGACAAGTTTAGGTTGAAGAGTTAGAGGGGGCTGAATTCCGAAGATGGGGGAGAGTTGACCGGGTGGAGGGAGGGTGCATGTGCAAAGGCCCTGCCCCAGGGAAGAGCTGAAAAAATGTCCCAGTGACTGAGTGCCATGAGTAAGGGGAAAATGGCACCAGGTAAGCCTCAGGGCTGCAGGGAGGAGGTCTGGCCAGGCCTTCCAAGGCATGGCAGGAATCTGGGTTTTATTTAAATCTGAATTTTATTTAAAAGGTGTAGGCAGGAGATGACTTATCCTCCCTTCTTCCTTGTAGATCCTTCTCGAAAACCATTCAGGCTGCTTTGGGGGGAGGCCTTAGGGAAGGAGGGTAGGAAGGAGGGCTTCAGAGTAGAGGCGACTTCAAAGCCAGTTCCCCTGAGTCCTCTTCCATTCCAGAGAGTGGGAGCCGCTCAGCTTTCCTGAACAGACCACTTGGGTTCATCAGCTTCCCATTGGAATCGCTCCTCACTGGTGCCTGTTGTTGGCAAGGAAAGGGCCCATGGCCACGCCTTGAGTCCTCTCTGGCCACTGTCTCCTTTTCGGTCATCAGGAACAAGCTGTTCTCCGGCACACAGAGGGTCGAGGATGGGGCTGGCTATGTGCTTGGAGGCATTTGCCGGCGTCCCTCTGCCTGACACCTGTCCCTTTTCAGAGCAGTGTCTCCTCTCCCTCCCCCAGCTGCTGCTCTGTGAAAGAATGTAACTGCCAGTTAGCCTTTTCTGCAGACACTGAATCCCCCATCCCAGTTGGGGAGAGAAGAGATCAGCTAAGCCTCTTGAGAGAAGAGATCAGCTAAGCCTCTTGAGAACTCCGGGTAGTTTTTCCTTTTTAATTTTAGCCCCTTGTTGACAGGGTGCAATGAAAAGAAAAAAAAAAAAAAAAAACAACCAAGTTATCTAACAGAAGAAGGTCCTTGAAATCACGGAGGTTGGCTCTCTTTTAAAGCTCTGCTGTGTGACTTCGAATGAGTTGCTTCCCTTCCCGGGCACCTCATTTTCCAGAATTAGAAAATGCATCCGTTTGGATTCCAACTATCTGTGATATTTGGGGATCGCTGTGCTAGAAGAGAGTTGATTAATTCCACAAACATGAGTCCTGCGCCCATTGGTGCAAGGGCCCTTGGGATCCTGAGATGCCAACACTTGCTCTCTGTCCTGGGGGAGTTTATAAATCAGTTCCAACCTCAGGGGCAGCTAATGACTTTGCTCCTTGAAACAGATTTTCTCTTCATTATAAATCATTCTTGTCTATTTATTAAGAGAGCTTAGAAAGATATTGGCTTAACCCCAGTACCTAATGCTTACTCAGCACTACTGTGCACTCTGATCTCATGTAACAATGATCTCAGCCCTGGGAGGGAAAGACTGTTATTATCCCCATTTTACACACATGGAAACCGAGGCTCAGGAGAGAGTTGCTCAAGCTTTTACAAACAGCCAAAGGAAGAGCCAGGATTCAACCCTTTAGGATCAGCCTCCTAGTCTTGCTGTCCTGCTCATCTTTGCTTTGAACTTGAAGTCAGCCAACTTTTTTCTATAATGAGCCTAACAGGAATATTTTAGACTTTATGGGCCAGATGGTTGCAAATATTCAACTATGACATTGTAGCGTGACAGCAGCAAGAGACAGCATATAAATGAATGAATGCGAGACTGTGTTCCAGTAGAACTTTATGAACAAAAACAGGTGATGGTCCAGACATGGGCCATGGTTTATCAACCCCCGGCCCCAGCCTCTGATCCACTCCGCGAGTTCCTGGTGAGTCAACGTGCACGTCATGTGTTGTCCCGGACGTAATGAAATTATTTCTGGAAGCGTATTCACCAGTTCAGACTGCTGTCTGACCCCATTCCTGCTCAATTCCTCTGCCTGGGGAGCTGAAACTCTGTGTGACCTCCCCAATGTCCGTGGCACCCTGCCCCCACCTGCTCCAGCCCCTCCATCCATCCCACTGGAGTAACTGGTAACATCAGAAATCTTGGGGATATCTGGAACAGCTGGTCTCTGGTGAATGAACCGGAAGTGAAATGAATTGTAGGTGAGTCAGCAGCAAAGTTAAGGAAATTTCTTTTATCCCTAAATATAGAGATCAACTCATGCTCTTGGTGGGCAGAATAATGGTACCCCAAAGATGGCTATGCTCTAATCCCAGAATCTGTGACTATGATACTTTCTATATGACTTGTCTTTGTAGATGTGATTAAGTTAAGGATCCTGAGTTGAGTTAAATTAAGGTGGGATTATCCAGATGGAACCACAGGGGGACTTATAAGAGGGAGATGAGAAGGTCAGAGTTGGTAGGAAGTGATGTCAGGACCAGAGCAGAGACTGAAGTGATGGGCTCTGGGCCAAGAAATGCGGGCTCTAACAGCTGGAAAAGGCAAGGGACTGATTTTCCTCTGGAGCTTCCAGAAAGAACCAGCCCTGCCGACACATTGATTTTAGCCCCTTAGGACTCATTCCACACTTCTTATACCTCGAGAATTATAAGAAGATAAACGTGCTGTTTTAAGCCACCAAGCGTGTGCTAATTTGTCACCGCAGCAGCAGGAACGCTCATACAATGCTCAATGCAGAAAATTTGGAAAACACGGGAAATGCATACTTTTCCAATTTTATTGAGATATACTTGACATATAACATTGTATCAGTTGAAGACGCACAGCCTAATAATTTGATACATGTAGGAGGTTGCAAAATGGCCACCAGTCTTCTTACCCTCCATCTCCAACACACAGCTACAAATTTTTCTCTTCGTGATGAGAACTTGCAGGATCTACGCTTTCAGCCACTTCCAAATATATGAAGCAGTATTGTCAACTATAGTCCCTGTGATGCACGTTATATCCCCAGGATTTACTTGTCTTATCACTTGAAGTTTGTGCCCTTTTGACCACCTTCAGCCAGTCCCCGAACCTATCTGGTTCTGTTTCTATGAATATGGTTTTGTCAAATTCTACATATTAAGTAGTAATATTACAATATTTGTCTTTCTCTGTCTGACTTACTTCACTTAGCACAGTGCCCTCGAGGTCCATCCATGTGGTTGCAAATGGCAGGATTTCCTTCTTTTTTATGGCTGAATAGTATTCCATTGTATGTACATATGTAAATATACAGGGTGTGTGTGTGTGTGTGTGTGTGTGTGTGTGTGTGTACACACCATTTGCTTTATCCATTCATCCATCAGGGGACATCTGGGTTGCTCCCATGTCTTGGATCCTATAAATAATCCCACAATGAACGTGGGAGGGCAGATATCTCTCCAGAATAGCGATTTTATTTCCTTTGGACATATTCTGAGACTTGGGTTTGCTGGATCCTGCAGTAGTTCTATTTTTAATTGTTTGAGGACCTTCCAGACCGTTCTCCACAATGGCTGCACCAGTTTGCATTCCCACCAACGGTGCCCCACACTCTTCCCTCTCTCCACACCCTCGCCAGCACCTCTCTCTTATCTTTTGGAGAGTAGACATCTTAAAAGGTGTGAGACATAGCTCGTTGTGTCATAAAATATTTTTTTAAAGCCTCTCTAATCACTCTGGCTAAGGGAAAAAATTGATATTTTAGATTATGGCTTGACAAAGACTTTCTTTGTGTGTATGTGTGTCCCTACGTGGTTAACAAAAATGGGTTTGTGCCCTGGTGACTCTCCGAGGTGAGATGCTCTGTTTTTAGGGAGCTGCAGTGGGGAGGTTGGCTTGGATGTATAGAGCTCTGGTTCTTCTATACATGCCCTCAGTCCCTTGTGATTTAGGGTGTCTGCAGGAATCTGGGAACCCTCTAGGATGGGCAGAGAACCCACACCATGGCTGCGGGAGCCCGATTTGTTATTTGAAGGGACAGCACTGACTTTGGTCTTTTCCTTCTTTTGCAAGCGTCCCACTACTACAAATTCAAGCAGCAGTTCATCTTCCCAGGTGAGTCCATGGGCTCGCAGGCCCCCCCGAGCAGGCCCTCGGAGGGCACGCGTTGCTGGAATAGATGAAGGCAAGGTTTGTCGGGGGGGCAGGCTCAAAGAGGGCAGCAGTGGAACCACCAGCCCCCAGGATCATAGCGAGCCATGGAGGTGGGAGGCTGGGTGGTCTTAAGGGCACCGTGGTACCAAGGAGATCCTGAGGCACAAGAGAACAGCCTGAGAAGTGGTCTGCAGTAGAAGGACAGGCCAGGGTGAGGAGGGGTCCAGAGCCACGTGGTAGTGGAGAGGTGCTCGGAGGGGCTGCGTTGGGCACCAGGAGATGCGAAACCATGTGGCCTCACCAAAGAGAACTCAGGAGTGGGGGGGGTGGGTTCGGAGTTGACCAGCTGGGGGCCTCCAGTCAGAGGCTCAGGGCTCTGGCAACCCCCTCACATCGTCAGTGGGACATTTTGTCCAGGGCGCCATCTTGGAATACTGGTGTGTGTGAGAGGGACAAGTTCAAGTGATCGAGGAAGGGAAAGAAGGGATTGGCCAGCCCCAGGGACGCACAGTCCAGTGAGAAGTTACTAGCTGCCCCATCTGCCAGGAATCAGGTCCTTGGGGGAGGTTGTGGACTCCGTGTTGGGTTTCTGACTGTCTCCCATCGGCTTCTCAGATGTGGTGCCGGAGACGCCGACCCGGGCGCCCCAGGTCATCCTGCATCCAGTGACCTCTAATCCAATGTAAGTAGAACAGAGACCTCCTTCTCCGGTGCTGGGTCTTCAATCTGCTCAGGGTCTCTGTCTTGCTTCCTCTTCCTGGAATTGACGAAGTAGGAGACTGTGGGAGAGAGAGACTTAGGGAATGACTCAGGTAAACAGAGAGAGACTGTGACAGCTTCTCTCGGCCTGGACCCAGCGGACGAGCCCTCTCTGCTTCGTGTCCTGGCCCTGCTTGTCAAGGGTGATTTCCAGGGGCTGGACCATTTCCTTAGGATCCCCAGACTCTTCTATGATCAGAAAGATAACTTTCGGAAATAGCTAGAGCTAACGAAAGAACAGTTGTTGTATATCATTGTCCCCCACCTCTAAAAAGTATAATTGGGGTTCGTCTTGCACAAATTGTGCAAGCATAAAAAAGGACAACTTAGGGTTAGAGTAGGGATCAGCAAACTACAGTCTATGGGACAAATCCAATTTGCCACCTGTTTTTATAAATAAAGATTTATTGGTACACAGCCACGCCCATTTGTTTATGACATACTGTCTATATGGCTTTCATGGCAACTGAGGCTATAGGGTCTGCAAAGTTCAAAATATTTACCATCTGGCCTTTTATGGACCAAGTTTTCTGACCTCTGATTTTATACCGTTATCAGAATAATCTAAGCTAATTTTGGAAAACATGGACTTGTCTGTAAAAAAAGAAAAGAAAAATCATCACTCATAATCATACCACTCTTAAAACTTTGACGTGTGTTCTTTCTATCCATATTTTACATACTCGTGATTCATGGTCTCTGCCATTTCCAGCCAGCTTTGTCATCCCGTAAAGCTATAGCATCGCACTTTTCGTATTTTTCTAGACTCTTTATAGGCATTGTTTTTAGGAGCCGTGAAATATCATTATTGATGTGGAAAATGTCCTTAATCGTCTCGCTCTTGCCCAATCTCCTGTCTTCGCATATATCACTGTCATAAACAACACTGCAATGAATGCCTTTGCATGTGGCGTCTCGAGCGTCCTTGGCACACAGAATGTCTTTCCAGGTGGTCTGTTGTTGGTGTAGCCCAACAGCCCAAACCACCTCCCTTGACTTCACTTCTTTGGTTGTGGCCGAAGTGGAGGGCATGCTAGGGGACCTGATTTCGATTTGACTGGCTCCTTGGTTGCTCGATTTGACATTTTTTCTTCTTTGGTTGTTCTTCTGCTCCCCTAACTACTCTATCCTTTCTGACCCGGGTTACAGACTTTGTTAAAGACCCAAGTAGCCCATCTGTGAAATCGAAGGAGCGGCAATTTGCCAGGAATATTGTGCTGACATCCAGCTCCGGATCATTTTTCTGCTGCGTATACACCAGTTCCACAGTTCGTACAAGACGAACCCCAGGTTATTAACTGGCAGGCAGGGAGTACCCGCGAAATACAGTAGCTGCCTGTGATCTGCTTTAACGGGCATGGAGCGATGGGCGCTAACTCTTCGCGGAAGGAAATAATTTAATTGCCGGGCTGCCGTAATCACGCCTGGATGCCAGCAGAGGAGGGCTGCCTGCTTTGTTGTTGGGTGTGAGGAGGGAATCCAGCGCATTGTTCCACCCAGATCTCCCCAAGGCGTTAAGTTTGCGGCATTTCAGCTGTCCCTGGGTGCTGGCCATACTGCAAATAACTTGTAAATAACTCGTTAACAGGAGAGTAAACAGAACTTTGTGACCCTCCCTTCTTTCCCCTTCTTTTCATTCCTCCAGCCCCTCAGGCTCCCTCTCACCCGGAGCCTCTCCAGCAAGTGGACTGGCTCTGTCTGCAGGGTCAGCAACTTCTTGAGGTCTCAGGGTCAGGAGAGCAGTGGCCCCTCAAATGAGCGGTGGGTAAGGGGATCTGCTAAGCTTCCCCAGGGGAAATAGGAAGGGGGCAAGGTGTTCATTGTGATTTTTTTCCTGCCCCTGGTTTCAGCTTTTCTGGGCCTTCAGCAGCCCAGTTACTGTCTCTCTGCAGCCCTACACACCCACGCACATGCACACACACACATGCACACACACACGCACACACACGCACAACCCTATCCTCTGAAAACATATTCCCCAGAATACACACGCACGCGCACACACACACACACACCCTCTCCTCTGAAAACACATTCCCCAGAATACACACACGCACACACATGCATGCACGCGTGCACACACACACACCCTCTCCTCTGAAAACACACCCAGAACACGCACACACGCGCGCGCACACACACACACACACACCCTCTCCTCTGAAAACATCCCCAGAAACACCTCCCATGCCCATCAAATAACATGTGCTCCAACAATGCCTTCACACCCCAGCATATACCCAGCTACATTGTCAACATACAACGTGCCCACAACATCCCCGGGAGCATCCCCAACTCCCATGCGCCCAGAACCACCCCTACAGAGAGCACATCCCATCGCACCCACGTGATACCTGACGCGTACTTTGCACACACACATGCAAGCACCCTGTGGCCCCAGCACCCACACACACCAGGAGCCCAAGCTTAGCCCAGCTGCAGCACAGGACCTCATGTCTGCATCACCCTCGCATGTGGACACATATGCGTGTGCACACACGCATGTGCACATGTGCGCACACAACACCTGTGTCTTCCAGTCCAATACGGTTTCTCTCGTTCCCATTCCACGCATCCTGATTCAATGTGATTGGCAACATCCAACTAACTCAAACACTGAGGATTTTCAACAGACATCCAGTAATCTCTCCGGGGCATTTCCACCGTATTCCATTTACTCGATTCATACCTAACTCTGGGCCCTTGTCACGCTTAGCCTTTCTGCACAATGTCTCTGCACTTGCTTTCGTCCCCTTGGTAGTAACGAAATATTTCTCAAAGTCAGGAGCTGGTTCCAGTTCCAACTCCATATCCCTTGGATGGCCTCACCCTGTCCTGGCACACGCAGATTTTCCCCGCTATCTGAAAGTAGAGCGTGTCTGGGAAACCTTTCATGAGCCAAAAGAGTGTCACACAAAGAAGCAATTATCATTCATCTCTATGGAAAAAATGGAGGTGTCCCCCAGCCCCCAAAATTACTTCTCTTAGGCTTTTCTGATACCTTAGGACACATCTTGCTAAGGGATTCACAAAGTACACGGAGATGAAGCCCAGATGCTCATAGACACAGGTCAGATCTCTGGTGGCCAGATGCTGAGATGCCCAGGGTACGTCCCAGGGAAGGAGCTTGGAGGCAGCCTTCCCACTGCTCGGGGTGCACGACGCCCCTGTAATGGCTCATGGCAAAACCAAGCTGAATGTGATGTTCACTTTTTGCCCTTTTCCATGAAAGCAAAAGCCCTCTCTGAATTTCTTTTGGTAGATATCAGCGTCGACCTTTCATGAAAGAGAAGTGGCGTCAGGCCAGCTTGCGGAAAGCGGGCAGTGCCTGTAATCCCAAACCCTAAGGTTCTCCCCTAAGATTCCAAACCCAAGTGAACTCGAGCAATCTCGTTAATTCTTTCCTAGCAAACACCCGGGGCTCTGAGAATTCTTCCACCCATGGCATTTCGGCCAACGTATAAGGAAGCTGCCAGATCAGTGGACACCGAAGCCATAAAGAAAAATGAGGCCCTGAGCAGTCCCAAAAATGTATTTAAAACAGTGTCCTTGTCATTGCTTTTTCATGGTGAGGTTATGGATTATTTTGGACCCAAGTGTTGAAGTGAATGTTGAGATAAAGCCTTGATGGGGAGGGCTTCTCAATCCCAAGAATTCATACATGGATAAACAAGACACCGACCTCCTTTTCACCTGAGGGTCACGTTTCTTTTCCTTTCTTTAAAGCTTGGAAGGAAATCCATTACTTCAAATTGAAGTGGAGCCAACTTCAGAGGTGAGATTCAGAGACTGAGAAGCACCTTTTTCCTGGGGCTGCGTAGCACTTGGCAGGGTCGATGGATGACTTTAATGACGCAGAGGGCTTGGGGTGGGTCGGGGCCGGGGGACCCTGTTTGATGGATGTTCTAACTCCGGGACAAGTGGTGGGGGGCCCCTCCCGGCACTGAGACTAATGGGCCATTATATGGTGTGCATCGTGGAAAAGCTAGTCTTGCAGAAGTTGGCAAGAGATTTGCATTCTTGAAAATTGAAAAATCAGCTTAGGGCCAGGTGAATACCGAGGGGATTGTGCTCCACTGCCTTCCAAAGAATACACCGGGGGAGGCAGGGTCCCCAGGGACAAGGAGCTTGGCGAGCTTTCGAGAATGTTCTGGGGCTTCTTTCCATTTGCCGAAACTACTAGAGGAACGGATGAAGTGTCCTGAGTTAGAACCATGGACTCCGCAGCACTGTTGCTGTGTCTAAAGCGGAGGGAGCAGAGCTCAGAGAAAATTATGTCCTTTTTGCAATTACTGGGCTAGTCGAAAAATGATCCTGGGGGAAGCCAACCAGTGGAAAGTGTACCATTTCTCCCGAGTGTGCCACAAAGGGCAGCTTGCTCAGGTTTGGTGGCAGGAGGATCTCAGGCTGCCTCGTCAGGCCCCAAGCCTCTGGGAATCCCCACCGGCTGGGGCTCCTGCTGCTTCCTCACTCAAGCAAAAGAACCCAAGGGCCATGACAGTCCGGCACCACGCTGGGAAGTCAGGTCCCCGGACCTTCATTGTCTAGTGATTCGGTGGTCGCACCTAAGCATTCCTGGGCCACCTGGGTGTGTGGGGACAAAAATGCAGCGTTCTGGCCCCGGCCTTCTCTTCTCTGATTCGGTAGCTCTGAGTAGGGCCCAGGAATCTGCATTTTCTCTGGAAGCCGAGGGGCTATTGGATGCAAATGGTCAGGCATGTGCAAGGGCGCTCATCCCTTGAAAACCTCACACCATCGCGGGGGTGGAGGCCGGGTTTTATTAGCTCTACTTTATGATGAGAGAAGGAGTTCTCAGGTCCAGCAGTTCACTCGAAGTCACACAGAGACCAGATTCCAGCTCATTTAGTCCGATTTAGGTAAGCCCTCCTAAGAGCCTCCCTTCTATGCCCTGTCCTCACAGAGGCTGAGGAAGCCCAGGGGTCTGCCCTGTGCAGAGGAGCTCTGACCTCTCCCTGTTTCTGACTCATCAGTTCCAAATCCCCTGGGGGATGCAAAAGGCACTCCCTGCCGAGGTGTTCTGTGCAGACAGATCCCTGATGCATCCACAGTCCAGCCTGTTGTCTGTCTTACACACGCATGAGCAGGCAGGTCAAACTATCACGACGGAATAGGAGGGCATTGGAGATTAGGTACCGACTGAGCCAGTCAGGCACCCTCTCCCCAAGGTGGCTTCCATTGCCCAAACCAGCAGCCTCCAGCAAACCGGCCTGGGTGGTCCCCCATCATTTCTCCTCTAGGAGCCTCAGGTTCCCTCTTGGCAAGAGAGCATTGGACTATCACGATCTCCCTTTCAGCTCCTTCTATGATTCTAGACAGGAGCAACCTGGGGTGAATCGGTACATGTCCCCCACCCGCCAAAATTGCACTTAGGGATGTGTCCGGACCCAGGGGGATCTCGTAGGAAGGCGGAGCGGTGGAAGGCGCCCCTCTGACCACTCTCCCTTTTCTGACCCCAGAATGAAGAGGGCCACGATGAGGCTGAGGAGTCAGAGGACGACTTCGAGGAGATGAACCTGTCCCTGCTCTCAGCCCGGAGCTTTCCGCGCAAGGCCAGCCAGACCAGCATCTTCCTGCAGGAGTGGGACATCCCTTTTGAGCAGCTGGAGATCGGCGAGCTCATCGGCAAGGGCCGCTTCGGGCAGGTGTACCACGGCCGCTGGCACGGGGAGGTGGCCATCCGGCTGATCGACATCGAGAGGGATAACGAGGAGCAGTTAAAGGCCTTCAAGCGGGAGGTGATGGCCTACAGGCAGACGCGGCACGAGAACGTGGTACTCTTCATGGGCGCCTGTATGAGCCCGCCCCACCTGGCCATCATCACCAGGTCAGTCCTGCCCGGGGTCCCCCAGCCACGGACCCAGTCCCAGAGTCCTGCCTCTGGCAGGGTTGAGAAGCGGGGGCTTCTGGTTAAGGCATGGTTCTGGCAAAGGGAGCATCTCCAGCTTTACCGTTTACGATTGTGTGGTTTTTACAATTTGAGATTCCAGAAAATACTTTTGATGCTAGAGCTCTTTGGGCAGACCAGTGCCACGGGGAGAGCACCGTAAGTGGGAAACTAGGAAAGTTGGTTTGGAGCCCCCTGTGCTCCTAGTATTTGTGGAACAACAGTGCCGAGACTCACAGTCTCCATATGAACATTGAACTGATTGGATCCAATCAGGGGTTGGCAGACTTCTTCTGTGAAGGGCCCAGTAGTGAATGTGGTTTCATGGGCCACAGAGTTTCTGTAACAACTGCTCAACTCTGTTCAGTTGGATCAGATTGGCCGGGTGCCAATAAAACTTTATTTATAAAAGCAGGCGATGTGCTGGATTTGGCCCCCCAGGCCCTAGTTTTGCCAACCATGGGCTAAGATCGTGGTGACTGTTATTCAGGCTTTCATGAAAGCAGCATATTACGTTGGCAGGTCTTCACGATTGCCATTTTAAATATCCAGGATCCCTGATCTCTAGCTGCACAGGAAGGGTAGTGAGAAAATCTGACATTAAGAAAATGTCATGTGGTAGCAACTTTCCTGAACTTGCTCTCTAACCTCGCCCAGGGACATGGGATGTTGAGAAAAAATAAAATCGCTTCAGTTGAAAGTTGAAAATTGTGAAACAATCCTTTGGTGTGTTTTGTTGTTGTTGTTGTTGTTGTTGTTTTAAAGATTTTATTTATTTATCTGACAGACAGAGATCACAGGTAGGCAGAGAGTCATGCAGAGAGAGGAAGGGAAGCAGGCTCCCCGCTGAGCAGAGGCTTTAACCCACTGAGCCACCTAGGCGCCCCCCTTTGGTGTGTTTTTAAACTCTGGCTGTTGTTCTGCTGTTGCTTTAGGACTGACCACAGCAGTGCCATTCCTGGCATGGCCTGGGATGCCGAGAGTCTGCTCTCTCCTTCCCATTCCCAGCTCAAGCAATGAGATCCCAAACACACAAGTCTCTCAACTTGGCAGGAGCTGTGAGCTCATGGAAGAGCTGGTGTGTGTCTTTGGTCTGGTCCCTTGTGACACAAAGCATCCTTGAGCCCATTTATAAGATCTCAGTGGCCCGAAGAAGGTGTGTTATTGTCTGTCAGCCCTGACTGTGCAGATAATGGATTGAATCCATGTAGCCCGTGGTAAATGTTTTGGAAGGATTGGAGATCGAGAGCTGGCCCTTCAATCCTCCCTAAACCAGGGTAAAAATGGTGGTTCTCCACCCTGAACAGTACAGAAGGAGCCCTGAAATTCCCAGCTGAGATCATATTCGGGGGCTGAGCTCTTCTCACGAGGTGAGTGTATCAGTATGCTTGTGCTGAGTAACAAACTACCCCCCACCCTTCAGAGTTTTCCTCTATCCTGTGGACAGGTCTGCATTGAGCCAGGCCCCATAGCTGGGCTCTTGGACATATCTGTGGTCAGCTGGCAGGTCAGACAGGGGGCTGGTCACTCTTGGGTACCTTCTCATGGTCTCTTGCTCCCCAACAGCCTAGCCTGGGCTCATTCCCAGGGTGGTCTCAGGGTTCCCAGGGCAGCAAGAGGTCGAGCGCTGATGGGCAAGTGCCTTCCACACCTCTGTCCTTGTTATATTGACCGATGGACATTGGCCAAACCAAGTCATGTGGTCAAGCCAGATTCAAGGCTTGGAGGAACAGAGTCTGCCTCTGCATGGGAGGGTTTGCAGGGGCATAGATGCAGGGAGAGGGACAATTTGTGGCCACTTGTACAACCTGCCACAGCGTCTTTCCTCCTCTCTTTGTTATCCAGAATGTATCGTCTTCATGCATAGCCCTTTATTTGGGGTACACACATCTGGTGGGAAGGTGGTCTTCTCCGCACATACACACACACTGGTCTTCTGCCTACTGCTCCCACCAGTCCGTCACCCCAAATTTCTCTCTGGTCAGCTCCTCACCTTCTGGCCCTCTGACTCCTCTTTTAGACATCCCCAAACTAGAAACACAAAACCCACCATCTCCTGTCCTTTGCCTTGCCCTTCTAAGGACCTCTCGCCCCCCACCTCCCACCCTTGACTTCCTTAGTGTTATTGGTAGAGCCCAGTACCCCAAGCCTCCCTCCCCGCTTTCCCAGGGGCTAATTGGAAGTGGACAGATTCGGTCAGCAGCCCTCCTTGAGAAACAAGTGGTCATTATGGAAATGTGTCACTCATCCTGTAAGCCAGCTGCGTTTGTGGCCCCTTTCTATTATGTGCAAACTCTGCCCCACCCCCACCCCCAAGCACCATAACTGCTTGCAGATTTCACAAATAGCGCAGCCTTTTCCTGGCACCCTGATAAAGACTCCACAGCTTTGGGACATGTAATTGGTCTCTGAAGTGTTTTGGTATTTTGTGTGAAGAAGCCAGATGAGCCCCAAAGAAGTGGTATTTATTCCCTATTATTGTGTCATTATGTATGTATCTCGGGGGGGGGGGCTCTGTGTACCCCCTTCTCCCATTCAGCACCGCCCACTTGTCGACCATCAGATCTCTTATCCGAATGTTCAGTTCGAAACCCGATATTTGAGTAATTTGATTAATCACCTGCATCCGCGTAATTGGCTGGCCGAGGCCCATGGTTGGACAAGAGCCAGCCAACTAGAACAATCTTTGGACCCTGGATTTATTTTACAGGGAACATAAGACCAGATAATTACCTGGCATATTCCAGCTAAATTCACAATGGCGTGTTCTCGCCAATTACTTAGTAATTATCATCGGAGTTAACAAGTATTTCTAAGATTAGCTTCCCTGTAACGCGATGTGTATGGCTCTTGGGGAATGAGTAATAACCGACTAGTTACCCAATTGCTCTATCCACAAATACAATTAGCAGCAGGATTGCTAAATCGTTTCACGATTGGGTTATTATGAGATTGTTGCAAAGCTATTGGCAATCGGCACAATCGCTCATTTTATAAAACTCCGAGTGGAATTTGAAAGCCGATGGCGCTGAAAGGAAACATCTCTCATCCTTCTGCCTTCCTGCAGTTGCCTGGGCCTCAGTGTCCCCATCTGCGAAATCAGGAGGTAGAAGTAGGTGCTTGGAGCAGAGTCCCTCCGATGCTGACAAAAATGCTCTGGTTTGAAAAGCAGCTTGGAACGGCCCTGGAGCGATGCTTCCCGAAGTATGCTCTGCCTGGACCTCCTATGTCAGAGCCAGCAAAGGGGGGAAGGCCGTGCCAGTGCAGATGCTGGGTGCTCCCAGTGTCAGGTTTCCTAGGGGTGTGGTGATGGGCACACACTTGGTGGCTTACTGTGACACACATTTATTGTTCTGTAGTTCTGAAGGCCGGACGTCCAGAGTGGATCTCACTGGGCTCAAGTCAAGGGGGCTGCTCTTTTCTGGAGGCTCTGGAACAGAATGTTTCCTTGTCTTTTCCGGCTTCTAGAACATTCTTTGCATTCTTTGGCTTGTGGCCCCTTCCTCCATCCTCAAGGCCAGCAGTATCGCCTCTCCCTTCTGTGGGCACATGGCCTGCTTCCGCGGTCAGATCTCTCTTATATAAAGATCCTTGTGAGTGTGTCTAGGACCCAGCCATCCAGAAACATTTCTCATTTCAACACGCTCAGCTTCTGCAAAGTCCCTTTTGCAATACATGGTTTCCAGGGCTTAGAACCTGGATATCTTTGGGCTCCAGTATTCAGTCTGTCACATCACCTTGGGCCTAATGAATCGAATCACTCTGAAGGTTAAGACTTTCTAACCAAGCTTCCCAGTCCATTTGAATCTGATTAACATGTGGGAGCCATACCCTGGGGAATATTACCACAGAGTACCTACTGTGTGCCCAGGGCTGATGCTGGATGTGTCCAGCTGGTGCAGAGGCAAATGGAAATAGGAAAGTTAAAAAAAAAATTAAAAAGACCAGACAAAATGGCAAAATAATTAGGATCTTAGTGGGGAGAAATTTGTTATTTGTCTAGTGACAGGAACATGGACCAACTTACTTTAGCTGGGTGCCATGGGGACAAGACCAAAGCAAAATGCTACAGTTGATGTCTCCAAGAGAGCCCCATTAGGAGGAGCCTGATCCAACTAAATGCATCTGGGCCATATTACAGATATGGAAACTGAGGCCAGGAGAGTAAAGTGGGGCCAGGACGGGAGCCCAGCTCTCTAACGAGGCACTTGATCCTCCAAAGGGTTGAAAACGTATTCTCCCCCAATGTTTGTCCAGTCACTCATTCAGTCATCAGATTTTGGTAAAGACGTTGAGTACCAGGCACTTTACTGGATGCTAGGGGAGGGTGGCGAGCAGGACAGACATGGACCCTGTTCTCAGAGTGCTGTCATTCCAGTGGGGCAGACAGACTAGTGCTGTGTAGTAATGAGATCATTTGAGTAGGTCTCGGTCTGTTGAAGGAACCAAACCAGAGCAGTGCTAGAGGGCCTTGGGGACTGGAGTTATTTTAGGTGAGCGTGGTGGGAGGGAGGATCCCGACATCAGAGACCTGAGTGCGAGAAGCCAGCTCTGCAGACATGGCGCAGGGCACACTCAGCAGAAGGAACAGCAGATGCAAAGGCCCTGGGGTAGGAATGAGCAGGGTGTGCTTCAAACCAGAGAGAAGACTGTGGTGGCAGAATGTGGTCGGTGAGGACGAGAGGGTGGGAGGCGAGAAAAGAAGCCGGCAGGAACCAGACTGGGGGAGGGGAGGAGAAAGGGGCTCATGCCTGGTTGAAGTGGGTAGCGATTCCTACAGCATCCCTTCAGCCTCCACATGATATTTTAGGCCGGGTCATTCATTACAGGGTCTGGCCTATGTCTCATAGGATAGTAGGATCCTCTTCCCTACCCATAAGATGCCAACAGTACTGAGTCCCTAGTTGTGAGAACCAAAAATGTCTTCAGATATTGTCAGA